CGTCGTTTGAAAAACCTTTTACGTCGCTTTTTAAAACTGTGACGTTGTTATGTGTGTACAACGTCTTTTTGAAGAAACGACGGTTTAGAAAGTGCCCCTGGGTTTTTCACAACATGAAAACCTCAACAAATTTACAAGGAGGTTGACGGTGCATTTTTTGGATATATTTTAAAGTTATTATGAATATTTTGAATTTAATAGATATAAAGACGACGGTGTTCTATATAATTATGTCGTTGCAAGTTTTATTACACGNTGTCGTTTGAAAAACCTTTTACGTCGCTTTTTAAAAAACTGTGACGTTGTTATGTGTGTACAACGTCTTTTTGAAGAAACGATGATTTAGAAAGTGCCCCTATGTTTTTCACAACATGAAAACCTCAACAAATTTGGTTCAGCATGATCTTGGGTTTTTCACAACATGAAAACCTCAACAAATTTACAGGGACGTTGATTTCAACAAAAACTTGGGAATTCTAACCAATTTTGTACAAAAACTTGTCTAATTCTAACAAAATTTGTACATTTTATAAAAATGTTTAAGTATTCTAAAATTCCTCTACTCCATATGAACACAAACAAACTCTGCCCATTCTTTCCTAACTTCTTCAATGGCTTCTTGTGGGTATGGCGCTTGATCCTTTCCATTCGCAAACTGCAATCCATAAACAATGATTATTCTAACAGACGACGCTATTTTTCATTTACCGACGTAGTTTATATATTCAACGACAGTATTTTTAATTTACCGTCGTTGATAATACAAAAAACGACATAAAATAAATCTTGAAATTTTCTTCTTACCATCTTCTCAAATTCCAGGGAAGTATCCTTTATGATGTCTCTCATAAAGCGCATGACATAATACCCGCATTCTACACTGCTTGGTTGCTTTGGTGTGCCAAACAGAGTTTTCCAAAGAGGTGCTTTACGGCCTATTCTGCCTATGTGTGTATTATACATTTTTAGAGCACTGTTCACTATGTTTTTCCCGTCCTCATCCACAACTCGATTTCCAGGCAGTGGATCCAGAAAAGAGACGGTCTCCTTTTTTGCTCTCACAATGATCAAGACCCAATGACAGCTGCACAAAATAAATATAAAGGTTAAACAGTTTTATATGCAGAGCATCATACAAATAAAATCCTGTTTTTTGTTTGGAGACTAACCCTGGATTGTAAGGCATCAGGAAAATCTGTTCACCATCTGCTTTTTGAACTCGATTGGCTACGACATGTGATCTTTCAGTTAATGAACCAGCGTCGGCACTAACTAGAGCAGGGTCGATAAAGCCAACCATGTTCACCATATTTGCAGCTTTCAAATTATCAAATAGGCACCTAAATATATGAAATGAAACCAAGAGTGTTTTTTTTTTTTTTTCAACATAAAGGAGAGTGTAAAATGAATATTTGATAAGGACAAACCTCATATATACTGCAACCACAGTAGCCCCAATTTCTTCCATGCTAGCAAATTGGGTAATATCTTCATGCAAGACGAAGGTAGTATGATCTATGCCAAACACCTCCTTCTCAATTGTAAAGGTCATAGTCTTCTCCTAAGGCTTTAGTGTTGTTTCCGCATAACTACAAAGGGATTGTAAAGAAGATGGCAACTCCAGCTTTGAATAATCTGGTACTTCAATATTCTATTTGAAGAAATAAAGCAACATAAAGTGATGTGGTAAATAAATAAAAACGACAGTTTAAATAACAAACCGTCGTCTGAAAATAAGTTACACGACAGGGAAAAAATACCGTCGTAATGAATACTTTATTACGTCGTTTAAAAAAAAACCGACGTCTAATTCAAATGCAAAATTCATAGATAATGAATTTACCTTTTCAATTT